TTTTTTTTTTCGGGGGCGTTTCAAGGAGGTTCCTGCACCTGTGCTTGGGGGTCCCAGCTCGGGAAGGCTCGTAGCTTTTTAAGGGAGATCTGCCCGTAGGGAAGAGCGCCGGGAGGCTCCTGCTCCTTACGGGGTCTCCAGCCCTGCGGGGGTCCCTAAACCTGGCGGGGGTCGGGGGGTCCCCGCCCGCTCCCCATCAGCCCCACGTTGACACCCGGCGCCGGAGCCACGCCCCATCGTCCGCTCCTCGCCCTCCCATTGGCTGCAGGAGGCAGGAAGTGAGTCAGCCCCGTGGGCGGAGCCTTCCGGCTCACCCAATCACAGCGTGTCCACCCAGAGGGCCCGTCTGATCGTCGACGGCGGGTGGGGGCGGGGCTTTCCTCGGGGCTGAGCCAATCGCGGAAGGGCGTGTCTGCCAGCTGTCCAATCGCGAAAACCGACGGGGGGCGGCACCCAATGAGAGGCGACGGTGGGTGGGGCTGACGGAGCGGCCGGGCGAGGCGCTCACCCCGGAGCGGCCCGGCCCGGCCCCGCAGCGCGGCGATGGCGGCGGTCGGTGACGACGGGTCCGGAGTCGGGTCCAGCATCGGGCTGCTCCTGGAGGCGGCCGAATACCTGGAGCGGCGGGAACGAGGTACCGGCATCCCGCTGTACCCCTTTTGGGACCTCCCGGTTCCTCCCGGCGCTGCCCGTTCCCGTTGTGTCCCCACAGAAGCCGAACACGGCTACGCCTCGCTGCTGCCCGGAGCTGGACGAGCCCGCAGGGAGAGCCCGAGGCGCCGCGGGAAGGGCCGGAGGAACGGCGGGGGCGGCAGGTACCGGGAGGGAGGAGGGAGGACCCATAGGATCCCATAGGGACCCTTAGGAACCCATAGGAACCTCATAGGGACCCATAGGAACCCATAGGGACCCATAGGATGTATCGGGACCCATAGGTACCCATAGGACCCCATAGGAACCTCATAGGGACCCATAGGAACCCATAGGGACCCATAGGAACCCCATAGAAACTCATATGGTTTCATCGGGACCCATAGATACCCGTAGGAACCTGTAGGAACCCATAGGAACTCCATAGGAACTCATAGGATGCATCAGGACTTACAGAAACCCATAGGGACACATAGGAACCCACAGGGACTCATAAGAACTCATAGGGACCCACAGGGACCCGTAGGAACCCATAGGGACCCTGCTGTCAGCTGGGAGTCAGCAGCTGTCATGGGGCACTGGGCTGATCTGGGGATGTGGAGGGCTCTGCTTGCATCCAGAGATTGGGATCTGCTGGGGCTTGTTGGAATCCCACTGCTATGGGGGGCTGGGAGGGCTGGGGGCTTTTGGGGGACCTGTGGGAGCTCTGGGGACAGTGCAGTCAGCTGGGGGTCAGCAGCTGTCATAGGGTGCCAGGTGGGGTGGGGGATGTGGAGGGCTCTGTTGTCACTGGGGTCTGTTGCAGGGGGTCTGGCTGCACTGGGGGCACTGGGGATGCTGCTGGAACCTGGAGGTCAGGGCCTAACAGAAGGCTCCAGGCTGATTTGAGGGTGTGGGGGGACCTGCTTGCACCCAGAGACCATGATCTGTTGGGATTCTGCGGTCATAGTGGGGCTGGGGGGACTGGGGAACAAACGGGGGACCTTTAGGGGCTCTGGGGACACCGCTGTCAGCCGGTGGTCAGCAGCTGTCATGGGGCACCGGGCTGATCTGGGGATGTGGAGGACACTGCCTGCATCCAGAGATTGGGATCTGTTGGGGCTTATTGGAATCCCACTGCCATGGGGGGGGGGGGGGGCTGGGAGGGCTGGGGGGGGACTTTGGGGTCACTGCTGTCAGCTGGGGGTCAGGAGCTGTCATGGGGTGCCAGGTGGGGTGGAGGATGTGGAGGGCCCTGCTGTCACCGAGGTCTATTGGGATCCCTATTGCTGGGGGTCTGGCAGCACTGGGGGCACTGGGGATGCTGGTAGCACCCGTCAATTCAACAGAAGGCTCCAGGCTGATCTGGGAGCATGGGGGGACACCCAGAGATCGGGGTCAGGGTCTGTTGGTGTCCCTGTCCTGGGGGTCTGGCAGCTCTGGGGATGATTGGCACCTGTCCCTGAACCTGGAGACGCTGCTGTCATTGGATGCTCAAAGTCTATTGGGATTCCACGTCACAGAGCACACAGTGGGGTTCGGGGCTGTGGTGGGGACCCTTGGGGACACGGGAGGTGCTGCTGTCACCTGGTGATCACTGGTGGGGCGGGGGGGGGGGCACGACTGGAGGAGACACAGCTGGCTTTGAGGGATCGTGGTTTGCTGGGCTGCCCCATTGCGGGGTGTCTGGTAGAACTGTGGGCACCCATGAGGGCACTGCTGTCGCCACCAGCACCCCACAGAGCTGCGTGGTGGCTCTGCACCCCCTGCCACCCCTCCACACCCCGGGCAGGGGGTGGGCACCCTGGGGACGTCCTCTGTTGGGGACTGAAGGTGCCATCAGACGGCGTGGCAGAGCAGGATGCCGATGTGGGGCTTTGTTTTGGGGATGTTCCCTTGGCGTGGTGCACGGCGCCCGGGTTCCGTTTGAGGGCTCTCAAAGTGGCGGATGAGATTAAGATCCTTTGTTTGGGGAGGAGCGCTCTTGCCCTGAAATGTCACTCGTGGCAAATCGCTGCCACTCCTCCCAGCTCCTTCCTGCTGTTTGCTCAGGGAGGAGCAGCTCTGCCATCTCAGGGGCATGGCACTGCGTCCTGCTCCGGCGTGGGGGACGGGTGACCTTCGCCAGCTGTGACAGCAGGATGTCCCCATCCTGACCGCAGTCAGTGAGCGCTCCCAGGTCCCTTTCTGGGAAGACGTGGGGCTTCATTCCTCACTAAGCGTTGCTCACAAGGAATGGCAGCAGCAGGACTTGTGCTTCGGAGCTGCTCACGTACCTCGGAGACGCAGCGGAGCTGTGCGTGGGCTTGGCGTTAGGATGAGGAGAGCTTCCCCTTCCTGCGCGGTGCTGCTGAGCGGTGGTTGGGCCCCTTTGCTTCCTCCTCTCCCTTACAACCACTCATCCAGGGAGTGTGTGTGTGTGTTGGGTGCCACTGCCTGTGCTGTTGGCGTTGCTTTGTGCTCTGCTGTGCAGCTGCTCCCCTTTCCAGCAGCGAGCCCCTTCCCATCCAAACCACCTCAGTTGGGTTTCCAGTCCCTGGCGCTGCCATCTCGCTGGGTACCTCTCCCTGCCCGCCTCTCTGCCACCACATTTGTCATCCTGGGTGCGGTGACCCCTCTGCTCTGCTGTCCGCCACCCTCCTCGAGACAAGCATTTCACAAAGTGCTCTTTCTATTTCAGGTCAACGCACAATGAGATGGAAAAGAACAGGTGAGAATGGGCTGGGATGCACGTGGAATCTCTTTTCCGTTGCGCATCAGGGCTGCCCCACACCTATTCCAGGAGCTGTGCTGCGCCCCCGGCGCTGCTTTGTGTGTGTGTGCTGCAGCTCTGCATGCTCAGCCCACCTGGGGCAGGCAGCTGGAATTGTCCTGTGGCTGTTTCACACTCCAGGGGCAGGTTTAAATCACTCATCTCTCCCCGGTGAGCTGCTGGGGTGCATCCGAGTGGTTCCTCATTCCCCTGTGTGGGCACCAAGCTGGGTGTGAGCAGCTGTCCCTCTCTGGGGACACCACCTTTGTGGTGGCTTCTCATCCCCAGTGCGTGCAGCTGGGCTGGCTGCTCACCTCCCACGTGTGGACGGAGCCCCAGCTGATGGAAAACAACATCTGTGAGGGCTCAGCTTTGGTTGGGTTTGACCCCAGCAGCACGAGCGCGTGTTTTGTTGGCGCTGTCACGCAGGAGGCACTCAGTGCAGGCAAATGCCTGTTTATTTGCGTGCGGAACGAGATAGGCAGGTCGTTGCAACATCCCCATCTGCCTCGAGTGTGTCAGTGGGGTACGGCACAGGCGGTGTTGCAATGGGGAAGAGAACTGGAATATTGGGGCTGGGGAGCTGAGCACGGGGCGTCCTGCGCTGCCATCCGTGCAGGTGGGAGCGTGGAGCGCTGCCAGTTGTTGGATTCTGTCCCAACAGAAGCTCGAGGGGCGCGCTGGCTTTGCAGCCCCGTGCTGGATGTAGCAGGAGCAGTTTTATTTTGCTGTCCCTCCACGGATGCGGAGGCGAAGATGCCGTGTGATGTTGGGGTAATGCTGAGAGCTCCGATGGTTTTCTTCCAGGCGTGCCCACCTGCGGCTGTGTCTGGAGAAGCTGAAGGTGCTGGTGCCGCTCGGCCCCGAATCCAGCAAGCACACGACGCTGAGTTTACTCATGAAAGCCAAATTGCACATCAAGGTGAGTCTGGTGGCGCCAAAAGTCCCTGGAGAGCAGAGGGCTTGGAGAAAGCTGCTCGTGCAGAGCATCCCCAAAGCCCTCAGCATTGCTCCTACTTGATGAGCACCGTGTGGCCTCCTGGTGCGTCGGCTGCTTTACGGTTTGCTCTTTACGCTGTGACTCTCACCAAGCACGTTTGGTTTTATGAAGCAGCAGAGAACCATGGGCAGCAGGGCGGGACAGCAGTGCCTTATCAAAGCCTGGAAATAGAAAAAAGAAATAGAAAAAAGCACTGCACAGGAACTGTTCAGAGGAGGGAGCGTTGTTGGCGTGCCAGCTGTCTGCCATGGCGTTGCATCAGCAGCAGTCTGGCTCTGAAAGGGACTGGGAGACTTGGGCAGCCTGATCTGGTGGGCGGCGGGCAGCCCATGGCATGGGTTGGGGTTAGAGGGGCTTGGAAGTCCCTTCCAACCAGCTGTGGTGTGAGGCCATGACTCTGATCTTTAAGGTCCCTTCCAATCCAACCATTCTAGAGTTCCATGGTTCTGTGACCTTTGAGGTCCCTTCCAACCCAGCCATTCTATGGTTCCATGGTTCTGTGACCTTTAAGGACCCTTACAACCCAACCCTGGTGTGACTCCATGATTCAAGAACGCTTCCAACTCAACCACTTTATAATTTTATGGTTCTGTGACCTTTAAGAACCCTTCCAACCCAAGCATTCTGTAATTCTATAGTTCTGTGACCTTTAGGAATCCCTCAAACCCAACCATGCCGTGATTCCACAATTCTCTCATCTTTAAGGTCCCTT